GTACCCGCGGTAGCCTGGCCAGAGAAGTACACCAAGTTAGGAACAGGAGCACCCTCCCCATGCAGTGTCCTTCCACACTTGATGACAAGGCTTACCGTCCTGCCAGATGGTAAAGGAGAAATGTTTGCCAGGTCCATCCCCATAATTACAAAGCAGGTATTGAAGAACTGGAACTGAAAGATAAGTTGATGTTTGCTTTGGAGCTGAAAAATGGTGTTTCTCCCTGCATAGGAGGGAACTTTTTTAAGCTGATAAAAGGAAGCAACTGAAAGCCTCCAACAAAACCAATGATGAAAAATTATAATTCCTTTTAAAGTCAGGTCGAGTAAAAAAAAAAAGTACCTCATTACTGCTTCTATTTGATACTTCCCTGGAGGTCCTCTCAAGGCAATACGAAAAGGAAAATAAACAAAACACATAAGGCTAAAAATGAATAAACAAAAAACAGTATTATTTACAGACAATATGGCTGCCCACATAGAATATTCCACAGATGGTTAGAATTAAGAAGTTCAGCAAGGTTGGTGAATACAAACTCAATATTTTTTAAATGTCCATTCTTATTTAGCAACAAAGCCTAATTAGACATATGTCTTTTAAGAATAGAGTTGCTTTGATAAAATTTATTCATGTAGGTATTTCATTTGATGTCTCTCTTTTTAAATATATTGATATGAATAAATTTAATTAGACTGTAAGCCATGATTTCAGATACTAATTTTCTTTTATTCTCTCTTTCTCTGTCTTTCTTTTTTTGGACAAATATGTGTGGAAAGCCTGCTATGTACCAACCATTGCATTAGGCCTTTAGGATAGCTATAAAGATGATCGAGATATGATTCATGATCTTCAAGTGGTTCAAGTTGGGGGAAAAGACAAAACAATTAAAAAAATTAAAATAGCAAAACAATTAGGTTTTTAAAACAGAGAGGGATTTAGAAAGAGAGGCAGGAAAAGAGAAAGAAAGGCAGAAGGGAAAGAAGGAGGAAAGGACAGATGAAAGGAAAGGGGGATCCCGAGATAAAGGGAGGCAGGACAGCAACTTTAAAAATTGGTAAGGGAGGGAGACAAGATGAGAAGCTCTAAAAACTGCACGTTTTACTTTATGCTGCGTGTTTCCTTCTCTGATGACAGAAAGAGAATGTGAGGAAAGAAAATCGTGCATAGCTAAAAATGGTCCCCTACAAACATATCATGTTGACAACTAATCTGAAATAGTGGTATCTCTGGGGAGCAGTTTAGCACTGGTGTTTGGACTTTAATGGCAGGCTGCCTTGGTTCATATCTTTTGTGATGATACGTAGCCTCTGTAAAGCCCATTTCTTTATTTGTGAAATGAAGACAATAGAGTGCTTACATGTCATTTAGAACAATTCCCATCCATAGTAAACACTTAATAAATGGTAGCTCTTATTGTTATTGTTATTACTATTTTAACATTGAAGACAGGGGCTCTGTCTTGTTCACCATTCCATCTCCAGCTCTTAGCACAGTCCCGGGCATGATTCAAACATATGTTGGATGAATGACAAATATTATTGAGCATTTGCCCTGTTCCAAGCATTGTTAAGAGTTACATGGGACAAGGCACTGAACAAAACGGACAAAACCTCCTACCGTCTTGGAATTTACATTCTACTGGGGAGATCCAGGCAATGAGCAAATAATTAAAATATACAGTGTGTCTTATGGCAATAAATGACAAAGGAAAATAAAGCAGAGAAGGTGCAAAGGGGGGCAGTATTTTGGTTATCATTTGCTTTACAACAAGCCACTCCCCCAAAGTTACTGTCCTAAAACAATTTAATCATAGTTCATATTCTGGCTACAACAATACACATCCCTCTCATGTACAAAATACACCCGCTCCGTTCTCAGAGCCACATGCCATTAAGGGTTCTTAAGGGTTCCAGTTCAAAGCTTGAGATCTTACCCTCTGAAGTAGGTTTAGGGACAAACAAGTCTTCTCTCAGGTGCTTCTTCTGGGGGTACAGAGAATTGTGAACTAAAAGACGAGTTATCTACCGTCCAGCACAACTGGCATGCAATGGGGACACAGGAAATGATCATTTCAATACGCGCTCCTGTGCAAAAGGGGGAGAAAGGAGAGTCATGCAACAATCACTGTTCATATTCAGCCAGGCATATATCCGAAGTATTCCTGATGTGGGGACAATAATTATTTCTTGATTAGGGCTCACTTTTTCCCTCTCTCTCTCTCACCCAGGCTGGAGTGCAATGGCATAATCTCAGCTCACTGCAACCTCTGCCTCAAGACAGGTTCAAGCAATTTTCTGTCTCAGCTTCCCAAGTAGCTGAGATTACAGGTGCATGCCACTATGCCCGGCTACTTTTTGTATTTTTAGTAGAGACGGGGTTTCACCATATTGGTCAGGCTGGCCTTGAACTCCTGACCTCAGGTGATCCATCCGCCTTGGTCTCCCAAAGTGCTAGGGTTACAGATGTGAGCCACAGTGCCCGGCCCATAAAATATTTTTTATGAAAACATCTCAGCCTGCTCCATGCCTATGGAAAGTTGGACTCCCAGATGTCCCTTTTCATTTTGAACTGTCTGTGCCCTTCTTAGATCAAGCTGGTATAATTCTTTAAATACTTTCTAGCTTTTTAACATACTAAATTAGAAGAAAGAAACCCATGCCTACATTTGTCTCTGAGTGCTACTTTTCGGCTGCAAGCCAGAGGGATGCAGGACAGCACCTTTAAGATTCTCAGAAACTCTTTCTCTTGGCCCCCAGGTCTGAGGTCTTAACAAAGGGTTTTACAGCCACGCCCTTCATTTGATCTTGACCCTAAGGTCACATTTTACTGACAGTGCCCTGAATTTGACCTTTGCCCCAGGTTTTAACTTTTTATTTTCAGAATGTCTTGCTGTCTGGAAGGACTATTCTGGGCCTTCTCTGTTTTCCCTAAGTCTTGCTTAAAAATGGAATACAGCAGTGCCCCCTTATTCCTGGGGGATACATTCTAAAACCCCAGTAGATGCCCAAACCCAGTTGCCATTAATCAGGACACATTTCTGTTTATGTCTTCTACCCACAGATTTAGTGCCTTTTCCATCTTAACTAAGCACCTATCACGCACTATAGCCAAGTGTTTGCAGTTTGAGAGGTGACAACAAAACTAGCAGATTTCCTTTCCTTCTTCACCACTTTTGGATAGAACATCCATCCTTATCATAGATCTTAGCAACCTTGGCATCTGAATTTTTTCCTAATTGCCAACATCACTACTCCTGCCCTTTGGGGTCATTGTTAAGTAAAAGAAGGGTGACTTGAACACAAACACTGCATTACCTGACAGTCGATCTGATCATCGAGAGGGCTGCTACGTGACTAATGGGTGGTCATCATAGACAGCACGGATCCTCTGGACAAAGGGACGGTTCATGTCCCAGGCAGGATGAGACTTCATCACACTACTCAGAATGGCACGCAATTTAAAACTTATGAATTGTTTATTCCTGGAATTTTCCTTTTAATATTTTTGGACTGCAGTTGACTGCTGGTAACTGAAACTGCAGAAAGGGAAACTGGGGACAGACGGAACTACTGTAGTTCCTTCTTTAGGTTATCACTTTCTTCCTGTACTTTACCTTGGGTAACTAAAAGATATACACTTTGTCACTTTCAATATTCTTCCTGGGTATCTCCTTAGCTAGACACCAAGTCCACTGGTTACATTTTGCTGCATTCCACATTACTCCTGGAGACCATGTTGCCAAACTTTACAACACTCTGTAATGTCTGTTCCCTTTCTCAAACTTCCAGGGACAAGCTGGGATAGCTAGAGGGCCTGGCATGGTCTCATTCCACACAGTAGGCATTTGGTACTGGCTTCCAGCTAAGAGCCCAGAGGTGGCATCAGAGGAGGGCCTCAGTTCTCCTCTGCATGGGCCTCTCCATGTGGCGGCCTCAGCTTCCTCAGAGGATTGGGCTGAGGAAGGAAAGGCAAAAGGTATAGATCGCTTAACACCCAGACTTCTCCCACATTCCGTTGGCCAAAACAGGTCACAGGGCCAGTTGTGTTCAAGGTGAGGGGACATAAGCTCTAGATTCCACTTCTTCGTGGAAAAAATGACCAGGTCATCGTTGCAAAAGAGCGTGAAGGATGGAATATATTGGTGTGGTCTTTTTTTACAATCTGCCACAGCCAGAGTGTCTATGTATGTAATTTAAAATAAGATGGTCAGGGAGGCCTTCGGAGACAGCGACATTTGGGCAAAGACCTGAAGAAGAGAGGGAGCCTTGCAGATATTTGGGATGAAAGCATTACAGACTGAAATAATGTTAAATACAAAAACTCTGATGTGGGAATGAGCTTTGTCTAATCTAGGGATGATAAGGAGGCCACGGGGACTGAAGTAGAGGGTGAAGAAGGAATGAAAAAGTTGTTAGAGGTGAGGTCAAAAAAGTCATGGAAGCCAGATCACGGAGGGCTTAGGGACACCTGGAAAAAGGAATGTTTGATTGAAAGGGTGAATAATTGTGTTTCCAAAAGGTGTCCATAGAATGGGCCCTTCCTATGTGGTAGTAACAAAAAATAAGTAAAAACTTGAGAAAGAATCTCCTCACTCCCCACCTCTAAATTCCTTCCTGATGATTCTATAACTAGTTCCTGTCCATAGGGAACCCTCTTCCACTTCTTGAAATAACTTTCACAGGGAGGCGGCACAGCCTGTTGCAAAAGTTTGCCTGTCCTCCTCAAGGCCTGCTTTGCGTGAATGCATTATCACATACATATGAGTCTAATTGCCATTTCAGATACCCTCCAGATTCCCACCTTACCAACTTCTGAAATCTTCATCTTTCTTTTTCAGTTTTACAGATGATGTTGTCACTGATTTTAAATTATGTAATGGAATGTCTCCAAGGGGGGTTACAGCTCCTGTTGCCGTGTACCAGTCTTAGAGCATGAACAACTTGTGATCGTTAAGTGCATGTTCAAAGCTAATTGTGTGACATTTGTTTGCTGCTTTTCAGGAAAACTTTTAAAAGCAGAGTATATCCTGAGCAGTCTAATAAGCAACAATGGAGCAACGGGTGAGTACTTTCTTATCTTCACAATGCCCTTTACCTCAGCCCCAAACAGCACACGCATCTAATAACAGCTTAGTGACTTAATGGTTACTATACATTACATGTTCCCGGAGCTATCTGGGACTGGCTCTGCCACTCATGAATGAAGAGGCGTTGATCAAGCAGCTTATGACTCTGTGTCTCTGTTTTCTCTAAGTTAAAAACAAAACAAAACAAAACAAAGACAAGGAATCTACTATTGGCTTGCTTCCTTGCAGTGTAAGTTATCTAATGGACAGTCCTGTCAAGGCAGGGAACTCTTGCGGGCCTCAGAAAGTGAATCAATAGCAGCTTTTAAGCAAAATTGTGATGGAAAATAAAAGCTTCTAAGTTCGGAAGAGTTCGCTTTGGCTTTATCAATTTAAATGGTTCAGAAAATAGATTTGATTTTGGTATATAAGAACTTAAATAAAAACTTGTTTCAAAATGGATTTTCTTTCAATATTTAATTATACATGAAAGGAAGCAAATCCTAATAGTTGGGTAACAAATAACTTAAGCCTTCAGATATCTTGTCTGAATTTCTGGGCATTTAAGTTAGCAAGTTTACCAATAAGTTGAGCACAATTTCCATTGGACTTTAAACGCAGCATTCTTTGGATGTGAGGTCTCAGACTTCTTGAAATTTGTGGACATTTCTAGTGGGAAGACAGTTTGGAATCCAAATGTTAACCACACACCCCTCATTTGTGGCCACCATCACTAAACTACAATATACACTCTTGCCATCAACTGCACATACACACACTAACACAAGGATTACAGGCTAGGAAGAAAATAAATATTCTCTGATGTGATGGAGAGTAGTGAGGGGCAGTAAAGAGTCTGCCTCTATTTTTGATGTTTGACCACAGACAGCTTTCAGGTCTTTTTTACTTTTGCCTCACACTGGACAGGCCGATTAAAACAAACAAACAAACAAACAAAAACCCATTCATCCACACACCCAAACCCAGCTTACAGGAAGCTTTACCCAGCCCCACACCCCAATCACAATGAAAAGCAAAGCCACTCACTACTCCTTGCCTGAGTCAAAGGACCAGCTTGAGCGCTGGCCTGACTTATCCTAGAAAGTCTCATTATGTGAGCAGTAAATCGTCTCATACTCTCTTGGTACATATGTGGAGTCATCAGTTTTGACATCCAAACCAACCTTCTGCAGATGGGATCCATCTCATCCTCTGCAAGGCAACCACAAGACAGTGGGGTTAACAGTGTAGAAAAATTAATCTGTGTAGGCCTTTGAGGAAAAGCACTGAGGCTGAGACCTGAAGGAGAAGGATCTGGCCTCTTAAGTAGAAAGAGGAAAGATGATCCCAAGCAGAGCTAGCGGTCAGTGCAGTTGCCACGAAGCAAGAGGCCAGTCCTATTATAAGGAAGCAAAATAAAGCTAGAGTGGACAGAGAGTAAGTTGGGGGGGGCAGGGGAACTGGAGACCAGATAGGAGTCAGTTTCTGCAGAGCCTTAGGCTACAGCAAGAAGTTTGAACCTGGTTCTAAATGTAGGGACGACATTGTCTTTCAATTTGATGCCACATGTACTCATGAAGGCTTCCATGAAAATAGCTTCACTTTACAAGGCCATATCTCTAATAATTCAAGGCAATTTCCTCTCTTTTATTTTAGGTACCTGGCTGTACAGAAATGAAAGTGACAAGGTCCTGGTGCAGTCGGTCTGTATACAGATCAGAGGGCAGATTCTGCAAAAGCTAGGTACCATCATCTAACGCTTGCGCCTCTCAAGGCTCATTTGCAAAGCCTGGCTGCACTGTATCACTGCAGAATTTTCTCCTTTTATCTAACTAAAATTGTCCATCTCCACTTGCCTGAATTTCCTCATCAAAAAGAGAACGGGATTTAAGATCCTAGGAGTGTCACGAATATTAATAAAATGGGTTTTTTTCTAGTGAGTTTGGTTAGAGGGGTCCACAGTTGTATATTATGATGTTAACTCCCGAGTTCGTAGTGTTATTTCTAGCATCTGACTTGGTTCAGCAGGACTCCGTGTGACATGGTGGCACCTTAGACCATACCTACCCTGACACTATACTCGTTCATTCCTTAAGGTATTCATGAATTTTTCAAGTTTATAGAATCCTAATATACTTTAGAAGCCAGAATAAGGGCTTGAGAAATTGTAACAGGAGGTGGTAATTATTATTCTTGTAAAAAACTGAGATAACTATGTACATATATTACACATATTATATATACAAATACATAATAATTCTGTTTCCCAGTGAAATGGAGAAATTGTCTGCATTACAACAACTGGAAAAACATTGCTGCCTCAATCTACTCTAGGCCTGAGTTTTCCTAACAGGATCTAAAGAGTCTTCTTTCTGTATTAGTTTTCAAAGATATTCCCTCATATAAGAGCATAGACACCAGCTGATCCTCCCCCGTCCTTTCTTTTTCAGGAATGTGGTACGAAGCAGCAGAGTTAATATGGGCCTCCATTGTGGGATATTTGGCACTTCCTCAGCCAGATAAAAAGGTGGTTTGTCTAGTGCTTCTTTTTCTCCTTTCCTGTATTTGTCTTTGGATGTTATCTCTTTATGACACAATTCCATTTATCATATATGAATTTCATCTGTCTTATTTTTATTTATTTTTCATGAGCATAAGACCGGGTACAGTTCGTAACTTCCCTCTGTGTCTTGCCTCATCCTCACTCATAGCTAGACTCTTGGCGTATTGATGGTGTTTTTATAATCATTTATAGCTGTCCATTTATATGTTTATCTCTGTTCATCCATTCGTTTATCTGTTTTATCATATATTTAGCCCTTACTTGATTGCATAGCAAAGTTTAGATGGCCAAGTTGCTTATATGTAAAATCATTTTTCTTGAGTAGCAAAGACAATTAATTGTTTATGTAGCATCCTTATTCAAGAAATTAAGAAATGTCATCTGCCTTCCCACTTAACATTTTCATTTTCTGGAATTCTGTGGGACTAGTCTCATTATCTGAAGCATCCAGTTATAACATTTCCCTGAGCTGTGTAAGCAGTGTTGCTGTCTACAATCCTTTTACAATACAGACTGTGATATGAACTCTTCCTTGGGCCAGTCATTCAGGCCAGGCTGTAGGGATAAGTTAGTGTTGATGATCCAGTGAAACCCAACTGAGAAGTAGCTGTGTTTACATTAGGCCCATGTGCCCTAGGATGTGTTGATCTTTCAAGCTCTGTGGCAGCCAATTTAAAAGTATCTCCAAGTCAGGCTATTAATTACTACACAATGCATATGTATGTCAAAATGTCACATGGTAGTCCATAAACATGTACAATTATTGTATGTTGATTTTTTTAAAATAGTATCTCCAACGTCAAAGTAATAAAATAATAATAGGCAAATAGTTCATAAGGAGGGATAATCATTGCCTTTAGGGCATGAGACGAGGGCAGTAATCCACCATGAATCCTCAACCTGTGATTTGTTTCTGTTTTTTTTACAGGGCCTCTCCACGTCGCTAGGCATATTGGCAGACATCTTTGTTTCCATGAGCAAGAATGATTATGAAAAGTTTAAAAATAATCCACAAATTAATTTGGTAATTATCATATGTCAAAAACACGACATGGAGTGGCATCACCTGTAAAACTGTCAACTGTGTTCTTGGTGGTTGGTTACTGGATGTCTTTCTCAGGAGACTGGGGGTCAGGGATCTCAGTGCTGCCCCTCCTAGACAAATGGGAGGAATCCTGGAGAGGGCTCCTAATTGGCTTTATTATCCCAGCACCTAATGCCGTACCAGACACTGAGAGGGTGCTCAGAAAGTTACTGGTGAATGAATGAATGGATATCAACAAAATGATTTTGAGCCCCACTTCTTTCCTTTCAAAGTATCACAAAATTCAGTTTCCAAGTTTGGGCCATCTTGATGATAAGGGGTAATAACAGTAAAATTTCATAATCATCCTCTTTCCAAATCAGAGCATTAGTCCCTTGTTCCAGGCTCTCATCCTTGATAATGACTGCTAATTTTTAAATATCACTTCACAACTCAAGAAAAGTGTATGTATATCCACATAAAACCCTATGAGGAGGGTAGAGCAAAGTGTATCAGTCATTTTAGAGAAAAATAAAATGCAGTGTAGAGAAACTAACCTCTGTAGTTTACACAACCAGTAAGAGAGAGAACTGGGAGCCGAGCCCAGGTCTCTGACCAGCCCAGAGAAGCGGCAAGGATGTTCTACTGCTCTTCACACTGTGCTGAAATTGCGTTTTTATCATCATCTATATTGCCATTTTCATGAAAGACCCCAATCACAGTGGTCACCATACTCAATACTAATTAGTGTAGTCAAAGAACACATACAGCCTGCTGATGGTAATCTAAATCTAAGATGTTGCTTTTTCTGTTTGAGCAAAACAGGAGGATCATGTTCCCTTGTTCACCGAAATTATCCCTGGGGACTGTTTAAAATTGCAAACTTCTTTCCCATCCCGGACCTCCCTAACCCCTTCTCCACTTTCTCTCCAGAACACTTGTCAGCATCTCAAATACTACGCGCTCTACTTGTTTTGCGTATTGACTGATCCCTCCCCCGCAACAGAAAGTAAGCGCCTTGCAGGCTCATTGTCTGCTATTTCCCCTGAGTCTAGAACAGGCCCTGGCATGTGGAGGTACGCTATACATATTTATAGAATTAATAAGTGAATCCTAATTGCTGTGAAATCATCAACTAAAGGGCTCTTTGCCAAAAGCAGTGCAGAAATCAATTAATCTGGCTGCAAAATGTGCAGAGTTCCTTTGAACAAAGAACTGCCACCGTCCTCCAAAGAAGCTCACTCAAATTATTTTGCACAGGTGTGTGGCTGCTGGGGAAAAGGAAAGTCAACACCCTGTGGTCTTTAGACCCACTTACTCTTTCTTGACACTGTTCTGAATGAATTGCAGTGAGGAGTCCCTTGAAATCATGAAAGAAAAGCAAAACAATTTCATAGCCTGTTTTTTGCGCATCGATAATGAATTATCACCATTCCACTTTGCCTCTCATTTTCTCACAGAGCCTGATAAAGGAGTTTGACCACCATTTGCTGTCCGCTGCAGAAGCCTGCAAGCTGGCAGCTGCCTTCAGTGCCTACACGCCGCTCTTCGTGCTCACAGCTGTGGTAAACAGAATGCAATCCCTCCTCAAACCCCCATAGGACCTCCCCCCAGGGTGCTTTCTGATGTAACCAGTGAGAAGGGAAAGGTTTAACCTTCAAATAGTCTTTGCGTCTCATCAGTGGCAGTTGTGTTAAGACTCCACACCACATATGGAAAAATGTTATTGGTCAGAGTGGTGACGGCCTGCTAGGAGCTAAATTAATTCAGCCCAAAGATAGAATGTTGCCTGTTGTGAAGCGATGGTTCCCAAGCCTGAGTGCACATCAAAATCACCTAAGGAAACTTCTCAAAATACCTATTCCTGCCAGGCATGGTGGCTCATGCCTGTAACCCCAACACTTTGGGAGGCCAAGGTAGGAGGATGGGTTGAGCCCAAAAGTTCAAGACCAGCCTGAACAACAAGGTGAGACCTTGTCTCTACAAAAAAATACAAACTAAAAATTGGCCAGGTGTGATGGCTCGTGCCTATAGTCCCAGCTACTAGGGAGGCTGGGGTGGGAGGATCACCTGAGCCCGTAAAGTTGAGGTTGCAATGAGCTGAGATTGCACTACTGCACTCCAGCCTGGGTAACAGAGCAAGACACTGAAAAAACAAGGAAGGAAGGAAGGAAGGGAGGGAGGGAGGGAGGGAGGGAGGGAGGGAGGGAAGGAAGGGAAAGGAAGGGAAGGGAAGGGAAGGGAAGGGAAGGGAGGGAGGGAGGGAGGGAGAAGAAAGAAAGAAAAGGAAGGAAGGAAGGAAAGAAAGAAAGAGAAAGAAAGAAAAAGAAAGAAAGAAAGAGAAAGAAAGAAAGAAAGAAAGAAAGAAGAAAGAAAGAAAAGAAAGAAGAAAGAAAAGAAAACTACCCATTTCTGAACTCTACCCTAGATCCACTAAATGCAAATCTCTGGGGTTGGTACCCCAAAATCTTTAATTTTGGAATATTGCCTAGGTGATTCAAATGCACAGGTGCATTTGGAAACCAATGCCCTATTGCTTCGACTATTAAATGAATGATGTATTCATCAACTTATATCCATTTCCATGGATAGGCTCTGTTAAAACTAACAACAGCAACAACAACAAGCCTATCATCTTTAATCAAAATGTATCGGGGATACAACAGGATGGTAATTGAAGCAAATATCTTACTCCTTTATGCCAGCCAATTGCTTACATCCAGGTCCCTTCTGATTCACCAAAAAGGTCTCGGGTCCTTAACTCAGGGCTTGCCTGTGGGTTTTCCTTAGAATATCTGTGACATGTGTTCATTTTTCTGTATTTCAAATGACTGTCCTCCAGAAATGAAAAGTTTGTCCTGATTCCAGTTTTCAATTCAATATCTGATTTGATATTTGTTATTTTTCCCAGAACATCCGTGGCACATGCTTGTTGTCATATAGTAGTTCCGATGACTGTCCTCCAGGCATGAAAAACTTGTATCTGTGTGAAGCCAAAGAGGCCTTTGAGATTGGCCTCCTCACCAAGAGAGATGATGAGCCTGTTACTGGAAAACAGGAGCTTCACAGCTTTCTCAAAGCTGCTTTCGGTCTCACCACAGTGCAAAGAAGACTCCACGGGGAGACAGGAATGGTCCATGCAGCAAGTCAGCTCTGTAAGGAAGCAATGGGGAAGCTGTACAATTTCAGCACTTCCTCCAGAAGTCAGGACAGAGAAGCTCTGTCTCAAGAAATTATGTCTGTGATTGCCCAGGTAAAGGAACATTTACAAGTTCAAAGCTTCTCAAATTTAGATGACAGATCTTATGTTCCAGAGAGTTTCAAGTGCAGGTTGGATAAACTAATCTTGCACGGGAAAGTGGATTTCCAAACAATCCTTAAAACCTATTCACAGCACCATACTTTGGTGTGTGAAGTATTTGAAAGTGATTGTGGAAACAACAAAAATGAACAGAAAGATGCAAAAACAGGAGTCTGTATCACAGCTCTAAAAACAGAAACAAAAAATCTAGACACTGTGAGTACTACTCAAGAAAAGCCATGCTATCAAAAAGACGCAGGAACATCTTCCCTCCCAATGGTGAAGAACGTTCAGAGGGAATTCAGAAGGGGAGGAAGGAGAAACTGGACCCATTCTAATGCATTTCGAGTCTCCTTGGATCAAGATGTGGAGACTGAGACTGAGCTTTCGGACTGCAGCAATGGCGAGGGAGCTGTTTTCAACAAGTCTCTGAGTAGCAGCCACAGCTCCAGTGCTTGGAGCAACTTATCAGGGTTTAGCTCCTCTGCAAGCTGGGAGGAAGTGAATTGTGCTGATGACAAGTCAGCTGGAAAAGAGCCTGGCAAAGAACATCTGGTGGACACTCAGTGTTCTACTGCCTTGTCTGAGGAACTAGAGAAAGACAGGGAAGGCAGAGCTGCTCATTCACTGTGTTCAGAGCTTCATGGTCTCACTCTTCAGGAACCCAAAGATGACAATTGGGAGCCATCTCAAAATCAGCTCCACAAACAGATGCCCTTGGTACCTCATAATACCCCAGGTACTTTTTTGGTCTCTGGTCCAGGGCTTTTAGAAGGAGCTCCAAAAGTTATCCAGGAAGTCAGAAATATGAGACCCAGAAATACTTCAGCTCATTCCAGACCCTCATATGGTTCTGCTTCTTGGTCTTCTGATTCTGGTAGGCCCAAGTATACGGGCACACAACCTTCAGTCCAAGAAGGAGAAGCCTTTGAAATAATTGATGAGTTTCCAGAAATCAACTGTGATGCCAAAGACAGCCATGGGGAAGAAAAGGGAGAAGAAATCAGTGAAAGAGACACAGACCCTACATTTAAAGCTAGTTCCTCCTGGGTTGACCCAGAAGGAGAAACAGCAGAAAGCACAGAAGATGCACAATTAGACTTTCGCAGAGTCATGCACAATCCTCTGGGACACAATTCCATGCTGGCAAATAGCTCTTTCTCCCCTAATTGGCCTGTTCAAAATCCTGACTCCAGTAGAAGTGCTGGCTCAGTCGCAGAGCAGGGCATCGACTCTGATGCCTCCACGGTGGATGAGGAGGGGCAAGTGCTCCACAGCACGGATGTTCCTTGTGCAAATGGGCATGGCCCTCATAGACTGTGCACTCTGAGACAGCCACCTGGTCAGGTGGCTGAGACCCCCAGTTCCCCTGTAAGCAGTAACATCCTCTTCCCTGTCCTCAGCCAGGACTGCACTACCACAGAGGAAGGAAATGAGCCTGGAAACATGCTAAACTGCAGCCAGAACTCCAGCTCATCTTCGGCGTGGTGGCTGAAATCACCTGCATTTTCCAGTGGTTCTTCTGATGGGGACAGCCCATGGTCCTATCTGAATTCCAGTGGGAGTTCTTGGGTTTCATTGCCAGGAAAGACAAGGCAAGAAATCCTTGAGGCTCGCACCTTGCAGCCTGATGACTTTGAAAAGCTGTTGGCAGGAGTGAGGCATGACTGGCTGTTTCAGAGACTAGAGAATACGGGGGTTTTTAAGCCCAGTCAACTCCACCGAGCACATAGTAAGTACAACATTTTCAGTAAGTCCCCCCTTGGGGGGACCTTCTGAAGAACGTGGTATGTAGAACACTTAAAGCTCATGAAAGGGCTGGGTGCAGTGGCTCACACCTGTAATCCCAGCACTCTGGGAGGCTGAGGTGGGCAGATCACTGAGATCAGGAGTTCAAGACCAGCCTGGCCAACATGGTGAAACCCTGTCTCTACTAAAAACACAAAAAATTAGCTAGGCATGTTGGTGGGTGTCTGTAGTCCCAGCTACTCGGGAGGCTGAGGGAGGAGAATCGCTTGAACTCGGGAGATGGAGGTTGCAGTGAGCCAAGATCACACCATTGCACTCCAGCCTGGGCAACAAGAGTGAAACTCTGACTCAAAAAAAAAAGAAAAAAAGAAGAAGAAGAAGAAAAGAAAACTCATGAAAGATATGCTTTGTGAGTTCACAGAGAAATATATACTTCAGGGGTCTCCCTCACTCTGTTTGATGGACCTTAATGATTGCAAAGTAAAGAGGCTTGCTCAGGCTTCCTAGCATACTGGAGATTTGCACTAAGGACACACGAGGCAGAGAGAGAGACGGGAGGACTCGGGCACAGCCATTGCTAAGGGTTTAAAACTGCTCTGGAGGCCATCTCATTTACTCAGCATTTATCTTCTCCACTGATTCTTATTATCAACCAGCTGACTTTAACAGGCTGGATACCATATTATCTGTTCAGCATCTACCTTCCCTTTGAGTCTCTTTACCACCCAACTGATTTTTCTCTATCTTTCCCCGTTAGCATTCTATGGGGACCTAATTAAATGTCATCTTTCTATTGGGCAGAGACTTTTTACACCTGTCTACCTAAGTGGTTTCTTGCCAGCCAATTGGTTGGTCAAATGCCTCCTTGTCTTGCATTCATGATGCTATAACAAAGTGCCATCAACTGGGTAGCACATGAACAACAGAACTTTATTCCTCATAATTCTAGTCCCTGGAAGTCCAGGATGAAGGTACAGCTTTCTGGTTCATTGACAGCACCTTTTCTCTCTGTCCTCACATAGTGGAAGGGAGAAGGGTCTCTCTGGGGTCTCGTTTATGAGGGCACTCATTTATGAGTCTCTTTTATGAGGGCATCCCATTTATGAGGAATCTTCCCCTTATGACCTAATCACCTCCCAAAGGCTCCAGCTCCTGACACCATCACCTTGTGAATTCGCTTCAACATGTGAATTCAGGGGGGATAAAAACTTTCAGACTACAGTACCCCTACTGCTGCAATCAGCAGCTACTTCTTGCTTAAGGAACAGCCCAATGTAACTGCCCAAAGCAGGAAGATGGGGCTGGAGCCACCACATAGTCAATGTGTCTAACACAGCTTAAAAGTGGTAGAGAAGCTGGGAGGAAGACAGAAGGAGATTCTTCTTTTAGCCCAGGAATCACATCAAAATGCCCTCCTACTATACAGAAAAATGATTTGAATGATTAAAAAATGATTACAAAGCACATCACAGAAGAAAGAAACTACATGGATTGCTAAGCACTGGTTACTAAGTAGTAGTTCTCAACCCTGCACTACATGAGAATCTTCTAGGGAGCTTTTAAAAACTTCCAATGCCCACCCCAGAGATTTCCATCTAAGGGGTCTGGTGTGTGGACCCAGGGATCGTTATTTCTTATGAGCTCTCTGGTGATTCTGCTTAAAGCCACTGTTGAGAGCTTCTGCTTCAAAGTATTCCAGTGTTTTGTCACCTGGAAGTCAGACTAAAATACACATCACGTTGTCACCAAAAAAAAGCAAAAATGTCCAGTAATAGGGTTTTGTTACTTACTGTGAGATTCTGCAATTTTGGAATCACATTTATTACAATGAAGTAACTGCTTCTTGTTATTTGTTATTGTTTGCTAATTTATGGATGAAAACATACATTGGAGGAAACAAGGCCCAAAATGGCAGAAACAGAACAATTATTCACTTCCTCTTTTCTTCTCTCAATTCATCACCCGTCCTGTATGTGGACAGACAACTGACCTTCCATTTCCATCCAGCTTCTCTAACTGAGTCACCCAACCCCCGTCACCATCTCACCCAACCCATAGTCATCCCCTTTCCAGAACTGTGAGTTTATCTCGCTTTAAGTATTTTCTCTCCCATGTGTCCCATTCATTTATCTATTATCACAATCTGGACACAGGTCTTTGTTTACTTCCTTTTAACTTCAAAGTATTGCACTCCTTCCTTAGGATTCATGTTGGTCTTTCTCCTCAAAGAGATGCTTTCTTACTTAGCACTGTTCTTCCTTTCTTTAAAGTGGAGACTGTTCCTACCTTTTCCTCTTATCCTTTCCTTTTTCAGTTGAGTTTGCATGTTTGTACAGTAGCTACATTTTCTCAAATAATTTCCAAACTTTCTCAACTTAAAACAATGAAGAGAAAATTAGGGTGCACTTGAATATATAATGAATGCTAGGATTCCCGGAGCTGTCAGGAGCCCATTAGGTAAAATTATCTAGTTTATTTCTATTTATGTGCTCTGGCATCAGTAGTAGCCTCTATTATTTGAGATCCCCAGGTAATAATAGTAAGTTGCAAGCATGTGTCACTTGTCCCAAAATGGCCTCTGCCATTTTCTGATTTTAAAATTCCTTTATTTTCCACTTCTTTCATATAGAATCTTCATGCTTATCTTAATCCCTTTTCATCATAAATAAGGGATTTTGTGAATCAAAGGCTATTATTCCTCATTGTAATTTATAAAGTGTTACCTTTTTATTATTTCTCACTAACTTTTTAACACTGTAGCTGTTATAGAAGAGATGAAAATTAGAGAAAATGTACAAAGAAAGTGAAGGCTTCAGGTGAGCTGGTTTAGGACCTGTGTCACTTCGACTTTATTCATGAATTGTATTGTCCTTTTGAAAATAAGATTCATTTTCATCTTTTTTCTCCAGCTGCTCTTTTGTTAAAATATTCCAAAAAATCTGAACTGTGGACAGCCCAGGAAACTGCTGTCTATCTTGGGGACTACTTGACTGTGAAGAAAAAAGGCAGACAAAGAAATGCTTTTTGGGTTCATCATCTTCATCAAGAAGAAATTTTGGGGAGGTACTATTTAAAAACGTTTTTATAACTAATGTAAAATGAGCTAACCTTGCCCTTCGGTTAAGTAATCACTCATGAGACTTTGTAGGGGCTGAAAAACTTGGCCAAAATATGTTTTTAGATTTCTACTCCTCTTTCTTTTCACTATTAACTAATTAATAATAGTTACCATGCATTGAGGACCCATGTTCTATCAGCTATTTTGGTGGCTTTTTAGCTACAGGATCTCAAACCCCTCCGGGAAACATTATTGGCCATACTGTACCGATAAGAAAAATAAAGTTCCTGGCCACATGGCAAGCCAGAGAGCCTAAAATATTCACTAAAAATGCTGGCAAAAAGGGTAGTTAAATTGTGAAAAGCACACTTTTAAGTAAATAGGTGAGCCTGAAAAAAAAGGCAGGAAAATCCTGAGGCCGGGCGTGAAGCCTGTCAGGGATATAAGCGATTGCCGAACCCTTTCAGGATCGTGCATGGGAGTTTGAGGCAGGGGTGGAGTGAGGGCACAGCCAGTGACAAAAGCTACACCTGGAAGGGAATGAGTTCAGATGCCACTCATACAGAGCAGGGACTCAGGAAAGGCTGTATCCCCAACGGAGAGGATATCTTTAAATTATCCCACACCAGTGAGGTCAATGCCCGGAAAGTTTTTGATTTGGCCTCAGTTTTAATAAAAATTTTAAACAAAAACTCACCTGAAAAATTAGTAGCCACAGGTGGTCTTCATTGGGTTTAAGACATATTTTCATAACATTTCTATATTTTAAAAGACCTATAAGCCATGACTTCTCATTTAAAGTTGGTCTTGTTATTTGCTCAAATCCAAATAGTGTAAGAAATAAATAGCAACAGAGAAATTGGGTGACTCTGTAAGCAGTGGAAATACATTTCTTGAAAAGATTCTTGATTATTATTTTATTATGGTAAACATGAGCCAGGCCCTATTTTAAGTGATTTATGTGCTAATCAATTAATCTTCACAAAACGCTCTGAGGTAGATACTGCTATTATCCTCACTTTACAGATGCGGGAACTGAGTCATCACAGAGATGTTAAGGAACTGCCCAAAGTCACGTGTCTAAGCAGCAGGGGCAGGTGCTGAGGCTTAAATTGTGTCTCCCAAAACTCTTACATTTAATTTCTCAGTACTTCAGACTACAGTCTTATCCGGAAATAGAGAGATTGCAGATGCAATTGGTGAAGTTAAGATGAAGTCATACTGGAAGAGGGTGGGCCACTGATCCAATATGACTAATATTCTTATAGAAAGAGGAAATTTGAAGATAGACACAGACACAGAGAGAATGCCATGTGAAGTCTGTAGTTATGTTGCCTCCTGGCAAAGAACTGCCAGAAGCTGGGAGAAAGGCCTGAAACAGATTCTTCCTTAGAGCCTTCAGAGGGACGATGGCCCCTCTGGAACTTTGAACTTGGAGTACTAGGCTTCAGAACTGTGAGAAAATCCATTTCTGTTGTTGAAGCCGCCCAGTTTGTGGCACTTTGTGACAGCAGCCCTAATACAGCAGAGTACATCATAGAAGGACCTGAGATGAGAAATACACTGAGAACAAGAGGCATGACGAATGGAGTGAGACGGTTCAACATATTTCTCATCAGAAGAAAATAGCAGCAAGAGAGCAAAAGCAATATTTCAATAGATACTTTCTGGTAATTTTTCAGAATTGCCAAAATACGCTAATCTTTAAATACAGAAATCACACTGAATCACACAGAGGGAAAGGAGGAAAGAGGCTGTACGGAAGCAGGAAGGGAAGAAGGCGGGCAGTCAGACATCCACTTCTAGGTGCACTGTAGCCAAACTTCAAAAACCAAGGACAAAGAAAACCACAACATTTTAAAAGCACTCAAAGAAAAAAGACAGATTACCTACAAAGAAATGTGAATTTGACATATAGCTGGTTTCTTCATAGCAACAATGGAAGTCATCGTATGCTTAGTGCAACTGTCTTTCATGGAGGAAGGCAAAATAATGACATTTGCAGATTAAAAGAAAAAAATGAAAATGGCAGTTTATCATGAACAAATCCTTACTAAAGAAAAAGGATCCCAGAAAACAATGTGATGAGAGAAGATATGGACCTCTGTTCTCAGATTGATGATCCCATACCTAGGACTGGAGGTCTTCTGGCAGAATGTTCAGGAAATGTTCCAGTAGCCAGCACTTCATAGGGTTCACTCTCGTGCACACCTCTGACATCAGTCAACAAAATTCTGAATTAGTTGAAACCCTCTGCAGGCCTTGGGGTCTCTTCATAGCAGAACTGCCTAAAGCACTGGTATAGCATCCCTATTACAACAACTGCTCCTCTGCAGGATGCCTTTTGAGGCCGTGTGGCAGCCTCCACTGTCATCTTTCCTTTCTGGTCTTCAGGAGTCTGAATGGCCAAAACCACAACCTCCTTAAGATCCATTATTATATGGGGCTCAGAAATTTTTGGAGAGAGTTTACTGTGGTTGGGGTCTATGACTCAAGCAATTCCCCTTGATTTTTGGTGGTCATTCTGGGCACATGTGAAATTACTCACAAATTCACACCAGCTTATAGCAAGTATAAACTACAGTACAGTGCAGCACTGCCTTGCTGCTTTCCCCGTGTAATCATTCACTGCCTTGTGTCTTCCCACACCAACTGTGCTATTAGCTCTTGAAATACACAAATCATGTCTCACACTTTCTTCCAGTCAGTCAAGACTAGTACAGTGTTATGCACATAATAAGTGTTGATGGATAATAAGTATTTATAAGAATGAAGTCATCTCATAAAAAGAAGGGATAGAGGAAGGCTTCAGATTGATGAGCTTCCTACATAAGGCCACACTGCAGGGGGTGGAAGATCTTGACTCCAGAATCCATGCACATTCCAGTACACTATCCTGACCCCCTTGACTTACCTGAGGTCTAGAGAACTTCTACATTAAGCGACACTTTTCCTTTATAATCATTATCGTTCTGGGTCAGCTAGCATGAGTCGTGTTCCATTGTTCAAGAAGCTCTTACAAAATTATTTGAATCTTGAGGTAAGTTAAAATAATTAATATTCACTGTCTAAGGCAGAGAAAGAGATATTTCAAGTGTTTGCATATGTTTTCTGATCTCCTCTCTCTTACTCCGTAGTAAGATCACTTTTGCACTTTGTTGTATGGATTTGCTTTGTTCATAGGTATGTTGGGAAAGACTATAAGGAGCAAAAAGGGCTCTGGCACCACTTCGCTGATGTGGAGCGGCAAATGACTGCACAGTACTATGTGACAGAATTTAACAAGAGACTCTATGAACAAAACATTCCCACGCAGATATTCTACATCCCATCCACAATATTACTGGTAAGATTAAAGAAATCAAGAATGTGCTTAAATGGGCCCATAAATACATATTAGGTTAGATTTCTCTGCCTAACCTGCATACCGCCATCATTCTGGTAAAATCCAACAAACTCAGTTACCAGGCTCCTTCATCCACTTCATTTGATTTCATCTACTTGGATAGAAATGTAGTAAGTATGATTAAATATGACCCTTTGCATCCTGAGCACATCATTTGGATCTTACAAGTCACACCTGAATATCAATTAATCTGAGTATCCGGTTCCACATAGTCAGGCTAGCATTTTTAGCAAACTCTCCTTGTGCCTATCCAAAGCCCCTGTGCTTTGCAAGAAAGAACCCTAAAGATTGTATCTAGTACAAACTATCCCCTCAACAGGATGCATAAATCCCCTTTTACGTCTGTTAGCTTCACCCCTTGCAACCAAGTGATTACTAAGCCAAAGCTTACACACCTTCAGTATGAGAAAATAACTGTCCCACTTTCACTTTCAAATAATCCTAATGGTTTGAAAGTTCGTAGACTTGTCCCTAACCTATCTTTCTCTAACTTCCATCCATGGATTACAGCTCTGCCTCTGGGACCACAAAGACCAGTTTCCCTTCACTGAACATCCGGTTCAATAGATAAAGACAAATATTCTCACTGAATTTTCTCTTCTTTGGATCAAGAATGCTTTGCCACCCTGAATATATTAGATCCTTGGTGCATTCATATTTGCAATAATTTTTTCATTGGCCAGAGACATTTTTAGACCCATCTTTTCCTAATCACAATAATAGTTATCCATTTCATACTTTCTTTATGTCATTCACTGTGCCAGGCAGCTTGCAAACCTTAACTCAAAGTGGCATAGAAACACTTAAGCTGATATTTCAAACTAGAGTCCCAGAGCATGATCTAACTTCATGTCCTGGTAACCTAGCCTCCAGGATAGGTCACCTCATGGCCTAAATCTTAAGTGAGCAGTTTAATATGTGAATAATAATAAATTTAAGTTCTATGACATGCCACATGCCATGTTAAGCACTTTACACGCATTTCCCTGTATAATCCCTTTAACAAGCCTAAAAGGTAGTTATACCCACTTTACCCTTGATAAAATTGAAGCTCAGAGAAGCGAAGTGGCAGAGCCTAGGTTCAAACCAAGATTTACCCAAGTCCAAAGACAGTGGCCTTTACTATTCATCATGCTGTAATGTTTCCTATTGCTATTTTTGCTATTTTTCAGATTTTAGAGGACAAGACAATAAAGGGATGTATCAGTGTAGAGCCTTACATACTGGGAGAATTTGTAAAATTGTCAAATAACACAAAAGTGGTGAAAACAGAATACAAAGCCACAGAATATGGATTGGCCTATGGCCATTTTTCTTATGAGTTTTCTAATCATAGAGATGTTGTGGTCGATTTACAAGGTATGTAAAACTGGGAATTATTTTTATTTTTAATATTACTTATATATAAATGTGAAGTTTTGTAACTAGCTTCCCTAATCCTTATTTAATAGATTGTTTCATGTATAGGCTACTATTTGGAATTAACTTAATTGATCTTACTATATATAGCAAATAATTCCTGAAAGAAATAAATGCCCAAAACCTCTACAGATATCTACAATATCACATAATCAGTGAAAGGGTCTGGCTTATGTTCTGTTGGGCTTCATTCCAGAGCATATCTATAACAGCTTTTTTTATTTCACTCAATTAGATTTGAGTGATGTAGATTTCTTATCATTGCATTTTTTCACATGTCAAAATCTTCTTTCCACTTTTCCTTTTCTCCAGCCTGTTACCCTTATTAAGAGTGTGATGTTGGGTCTCATATTGGGGATCATTATAGAACAGAAATCTTTTTCCTTACGCTATGTACTTAAATCCGACTTCAATTCTACCTTAATATTTTAATTTTGTTTTAGTTTGCCTGGTATTTTATTCATCAGAATTTTTATTAGCAATTACCTTCTACTTCATATAAATTATAAGTAAGATTTATTATAATTATTTATAGTAATGGTTCCATGGCCACCCCAAGACCTTTCCTATTCCACTTTCAGAGAATTTATCACTCTGTTATATATTTTACTTTTGATCTGTTTCCCTTAACAAGAATGTTAGCTCAATGAGTACAAAGATTTTTGACTAGCTTGTTCAGTCAGTACCACCAGTGCCTAAAACAGTGTTTGTAGTGTCTGCACTCAATAAATATTTGTTGAATGAGCAGATGAGTATATGAATTAATGAATAAGGCATTAAAGAAATTTCTGAATCATGAAAGAAGTATTCAATATTGTGATATTGATAATTATTCTAAGTGGATTTTATTGTTTTCTAATACCTTGAAAATTGGTGATCTGGGGATGTCATATTTGACAAATATAATTACCCAATATTTAGTTATTCTGAAACCAATAACTGGAATATGCAACCCAAATTCCTTACCAGGAATTTACTAACTATAAACCACAGGGTGACCAAGTTTTTGAAGTACCTTTTTAAGAGAGAGAGAGAGAGAGAGAGAGTGTGTGTGTGTGTGTGTGTGCGCGCGCGTGTATTTTTGTAAACCCTTGATGGACATTTCCAGGGAATTTAATACTCAGGTGTGTTCATTTCTCTTTTAGGTTGGGTAACCGGTAATGGAAAAGGGCTCATCTACCTCACAGATCCCCAGATTCATTCTGTTGATAGGAATGATGTCACTACCAATTTTGGAAAGAGAGGAATTTTTTACTTCTTTAATAACCAGCACGTGGAATGTAATGAAATCTGCCATCGTCTTTCTTTGACTAGACCTCCAATAGAGAAGTCATGCAATTCATAGACTGCATGGACTGGTAATGTGACAGACCTTAGTGACGCTCTCAAATATCTGGTTCTCTCCTTCCAGGCACACAGAATATGGCACAGTCTGGTCCTTTGGGTCTTGGGCAGGGCCATGGCACATGTTCTAGACAATGATTTGTGAGAGGAATTGATGAGTGTCACTTTAATGCCTGCATTTAGTTGGCATCATGAGATCCTGCAGAGCCTCTTTCCCTCTGCCACAGTTACCAAGAATGTGTCAGGAGACAGTTGCTTCTGGGCATAAGTCCTGCAAGGAAAGCAACATGAAAAACAGCCCCAACTCACCAATGAGGGATGCAAAGCACTGCTGAGAAAGGCATGTGTTGTTTACACCATTGAGATTTTGGAGCTTTTTGTCACTATCTATCAAGATTGATATTACTGGGGCTTTTCCTATTGATCTGGGAGATCTTTACATATTTTTTAAAATGTGAGCCTTTGTGGTATGAATTCAATTTGTTTTTCTGTCTTTTGACATTTGACATTGCATAAAACGTTTATCTGTGCAGAATTTTTTAGATAGTTGAATTCATCAATCTTTTATGTGGCTTTTTGTTATGTATAATACTTAGATCTTCCTTATACTCTGAGTTTTTTTCTTTTTAATTCTCCCATATGTTCTTCTAATATATTTAAATCTGTAAAAAGTAAGATCGAAGAATGATACAATTTTCTTTACCCAGTCTGTCATTGATGGTCATTTAGGTGACTGGATAAAGAAAATGTGGTACATATACACCATGGAGTACTATGTGTATTAGTCCATTCTCACACAGGTTTGAAGAAATACCTGAGACTTGGTAATTTAAAAAAAAAAGAGGTTTAATTGACTAACAGTTCCACATGGCTGGGGAGATCTCAGAAAACTTACAATCATGGCATAAGGCACTTCTTCACAGGGCAGCAGGAGAGAGAATGAGGGCCAGCAGAGGAAATGCCAGATGCTTATAAACCCATCAGATCTCATGAGAACTCACTCACTATCATGAGAACAGCATGGGGGAACCTGTCCACATAATTCAATTACCTCCCACCAGGTTCCTCCCATGATACATGGGAATTATGGGATTACAATTCAAGATGAGATTTGGGTGGGGACACAACGCCAAACCATAACACTGTGTAACCATAATAAAGGATGAGATCATGTCCTTTGCCGGGACATGGATAGAGCTGGAGTCCATTATTTTTAGCAAATTAATGCAAGAACAGAAAACTAAATACCACTTATTCTCACCTATAGGTGGGTGCTAAGTGATGAGAGCAGGTGGACACATAGAGGGGAACAACACACACCAGGGTTTATCAGAGGGAGGGGAGTGGGAGGAGGTAGAGAATCAGGAAAAATAACTAATTGGTACTAGGCTTAATACCTGGGTGATGAAGTAATCTGCACAACAAACCCCCATGACACAAACCTACACATGTACCCCTGAAAAATGTACCCCAATTTTATTCTTTTTTTAACTTTTATATTTTAAAATAAACAATACAATTTTTTACTTTTATTTTAAAAAATAAAAGATTATATTTTTAAAATATAATTTATTTAAAATATATAATTTATTTTTATATATAATATAATTTATTTAATTATATTTTAAAAATGTAATCTTAAATTATATTTTTAAAGTATATATTATAAATTATATTTTTAAATATAATTTTAAAAATAATTTTTTATTTAAAAAAATTTTTACTTTTTTAAAAGAAAAAGTAAAAAAAAGAATAACATTGAATGTTGCAAACTTTATGAATATACCAAAACCATTGGACTAGACACTCAAAGGGTGAATTTTATGGTATGTAAGCTATATCTCAATAAAGCTGTTTTTTAAAAATCAATATTCTTACAAAAAACAATGATACATTTTCCTGGCTACCACAGTCCGTCCCCTACCTTATGCAGATCTACCTTTTCACACAGGTTTGGGAAGCACCTCCTCCACGATCTTACTGAAAGAAACAAAAGGGACAAGTGAGATAAACCAATTCTTTTCTGCAATTACTCTTGGAGGCTGCAACTGGTGCTCACTCTCCACCTTCACCACTGTTCATTCTAAATTTCCCTCAGCCTTAACTACTAGCTCAGGAAGTCTGGGTGGTTCACCTGGTGGTGAGACTCAGACTTACATACATGATCTTCATGTATCAATTCTGAACACTTGGTAGTTTATACTCTTCTCAATTTAAGGTTGCTGCACATTTCTCTTCACAGTTGCAATTGAGGCAAGGAAGACCCATTCCAATATCCTGCTCTGGGGACACAGATGATTGACACTCCCAGCTTCCACTCCCCTGAATCCATCTCTGTGTTTATGCTGAAGCCATATTGTCCTCAGTGTGCTGTCAGCCGGTGACTAAGCATAACAAGATCACTAGTCTCAGAATATGTCTAATTGCTGACTGTGACTGTGAAATAAAGTCTTGACATTGGCCTAACCAATGGCTTTTGTAAGGCCAGGTGCAGTGGCTCTGTTATCCCAGCACTTTGGGAGACCGAGGGGGGTGGATCTCCTGAGGCCAAGAATTCAAGCAGCCTGGCCAATATGGAGAAACCCCATCTCTGCTAAAAATACAACAGCAACAAAAAATTAGCTGAGTGTGGCCAATTTTCCAGGAGGCAGAGGTTGCAGTGAGCTGAGATTGCACCACTACACTCCAGCCTGGGTGGCACAGCAAGGCTCCATCTCAAAAAACAAAAATAAACAAACCCTTTTCTTTGCTCTCTCCTTTCCTAGGTGTCAGGCCCGCAGCATGGTCCACTCCCTACTCTTGTTCCTGCCAACTGATTCTTTACAGTCGTTTCTCCCAATAAAGATCTTTTATGTCTTATCTATTCCTGGTATCTGCTTCCTGGAAAACCAAAGCTAACACATGTTTATTAAGAAAATGAAAAAAAAAAAAAGTAATCTATTCTATTAATAAAACAAAGAGAGAAAATTATGTAATTTCATAAGATGCAGACAATTATTTCATAAAATTCAAAATAGGCTCCTGGTAAAAGAAAAAGAAGCTCTTTGAAAACTAGGAATAAAGAAAAGCTTTCTAAATCTGACAAAGGTTTTTTCTTTTAAACTTAAAACAATACCATAGTTAATAGTGAAGCAATTAAAACTTTTAAGTTGAGAAAAGGAAGAAGACAAATTTACCTACTATCCCAATTCTATTCAACATCATAGAAGAAGTCCAGCCAATAAACATAGAAAGACTAAAACTAGAAAATCACGATTTTTGCATCCATTAATGAAATAATGAATCTGGGCAGAAAGCATTGATGGCTGCTAAAACTATTAGGGGAAAATTAGATGGGGAACTTTGTAATGGAAGAATCAGGCTGATTCTACTCACACTTCAATCAATCTGATCACTAAACCTGGGATAACAGATCAGTGATAAAATGACATTTTTGAGACAATTGGGGATTTTGAATATGGACTGAGTGTTAGATAAAATGACGTGATATCTTAAAAACATTCAACCAAAAAAAAAAAATTTGGAGAAGGAAGTGAAAGCAGCTTGACTCTTTGGGGTTAATGTTGAAGGGAGATGGGTACATAGCAATTTATTGTACCAGTCTTTCTACTTTTCTATATATTTTTAAATCTCTACACACAAAAAAATTTCTTAAATGTAAGGTCATAGAAAGGAAAGAATACCAAGAAAAGTCTGAAGAATCAATAGACAAATAGGATGAAACCAAGATTGGTATAAAACAAACCAATCAGGAAAGAAAACAGGGAGGAGTGTTCAGCAGTGTAAAATCCTGCAGAAAAAAATCAAGGAAAAAAAGAAAATTTTTTGGGTAAAAGACTGAGAATGATGAAAAAAGATTGCTGACAGCAAGAAGAGGCTATTAATTGACGGAGTGATCTTTGAGATGTTGTTGTAGAAGGGGGTCAACAAGCTATGATCCATGAGGTCAAAGCTGCTGTCATCTGTTTTTATAAATAAAGTTTTATTGGAACATAGTCACTTATTCAGTTATGTATTATCTATAGCTGCTTTTCTGTTACAATAGCAGAATTGAGTAACGTGACATAGACTGGATTTTGCAAAATTAAAAATGTTTACTATATGGACCTTTACAGAAAAACTTTGCCAATCCCTGTTTGTAGAAGATGAAATCAGGAATAAAGGTCAGGTTATATTTAGAAAGAAATATGGATATCTCTACCAACGCAAAAGAAAAGGCAGTGGCAACAATGAGTGAAGAAACTGGAAATTGGATGTGATAGTGAAGTAAATTGATGGATGTCAGAGCCCACTTTTCTTCGTTAAGTCAAAAAGCTAGGATATCTGCTAAGTGAGATGACATTGGCATAGCTAGGAATTTTAGAGAAATTAAGATTTTGTAGCAATGCATATCTCTGAATTATACAAAGCAGAAATAGTACTATTAAAAGGAATTTGCAGGATATTGCATTGTAAAAATATCTTTACATTTTTGTTTATTTCAACACCCATGTACCCAACATCTGGCTGAAAAAATTAAATATAATACTGTTTTTGAAGCTTCCATTCCTGATCTCTACTTCCTTCTCTACCCAAGAGAAAATCGTTGTTCAGAAATTGTTGATTATCATTCCCCTAACTGTTGTTACACATTAACTTTTATTTAATGTTGTTATATAATTATATATTGCATAAAAATAACAATAAATATCCAGTATTCTTTTAAAATATTTAAAGCTCTGTATAAATATTTTAAAGGCCAGATTAGTTTTTAAAAA